GAGTATAATTACAATTTATTTTTTATATTTCTTTTCATTTTATTTGTTTTATTTAAATTTGAGGGTATAATGGTCATTTTACACTGAAAAATAGTGAAAATGATGTTTTCCACACTGAAACGTTGAAATAGGGGCAAAAATGCAAAAAAATGAAACGTTGGGACGTTTTGCACACTAACTATCAAACGTAGGGACGTTTTATGCTAATAAGCCTGGAAAAATTTATCTATCAAACAGCTTTTTAAGGGTGGAAAAACTAAGGCTATCAAACGGAGCATTATTGTGATTCTGTGAAAAGCTTAAAATCTCGTAACAGATACTGGCACACACAAATCTCGTAGTTTACGGAAGCACGAACCCACTGAGATCAACGGTAAATAATAGGTTGACGTGAAAAAATGAACGGTTTAGATCAACCTATTTACAGGCCCCAACAATTTGAATTCAAATTAGTAGAAACGGTATGATTCCGGAGCCTCTGCCTCGGATCCGAACCTAATTTTCTCCCACCGGTAAAAATAAATGTCACAGAGAAGCCACTGTATTATGAGTTGCACCATCTCAACTGAAAAAGATCGCATAACCATTTTGCCCTCTCTTTTTCTCTCTCTAAGATTTTTAGGGCTTTGTTTTGTTTCTACAGTCAAACTTAGTTCAATGTATGATCTCGATTTTGGTTAATAATAAACATACGCTATATTTATGCGCTTTAGATTAAATTTGAGAATGTATAGCCAAAAATGATTATGGGTTTTTTAATTGATTTTCCTTGATTATAAATTATTAAAGATTTGAGCTTCAATGGAGGATCCGACAGGACGAGTGGGGGCGCATGAGTTGAACTTGGCTTCAAGAAAAGCAGAAGACGCAGGTCTATTTTTTTATTTCTAACTTTTTTCGCTCTAATGATATATGCATGTGTGGCAAATGATACTCGATTACGGATTTATGGTCATCTCCGTTATACTGAAGTCAAGAACCAGGTTCTTTGAATGAATTTTGCATTTTTATTCCGTGAATTCTGTGTTTTTTTTTACTTAGAAACCAAGAGAGTATAGATTTTAGTTTCTCTTTTGGTTGTAGGGAACATGTAGGAAATAAAGGGGATGGGTTTTTAATATGAAAATTTTGATTATTTATAGATAATTTGATCTAATTTGTGTAAAGATTTTTCTTCTGGAATTTAGAGGTTGTGTTTTTCATCATTCGTGGTTTTCTTTATTCTAATCTCTTTGGGAGTATGTGCCTACGTTAATGTCGAGTTGTGTGTATGTATTTGTATTTTTAATTCCTTTAATGGCTCTTAGAATTCTGAATATTAATTAAAACTTTGTGGCTTTTACTGAATTTTCAGCTCTAAGACGACATCAAGCTGCCCATTGGCTAGATTGCCTAGTGGGACCGCTTGGAATATCTAGCCGCCCCTCGGAGAGAGAGTTTATTTCTTGCTTGAGAAATGGTTTAATTCTTTGCAATGTAATTAACAAGATTCAAACAGGTTCAGTTCCAAAGGTAAAGTTTTCCTTGCTGGGAGTATTTGTATGCGTACACATGTATGCTTTTTTAGGCAGATTTGATAATGTAGGGTTTGGTTTTTCTTCACTTCTGATTGTTCTGCATTTCAAATTTGTAATTAGGTTGTGGAAATTAACTCATCTTCACAGTTGCCGCCATGGGATTCAAAGCCATTGCCTGCCTATCAATATTTTGAGAATGTTCGTAATTTTTTAGTAGCCGTGGAAGAACTGAAACTACCTGTTTTTGAATCTTCTATTTTTGAAAGGGTAAAAATTCCATGCCTCTTTGCTGCATCACCTAATAAGTACTCATTGTGGACTTACGAGCTAGCAACCCTGAGGGGTTGCTCAATTGGTCATGCTTTGGGTTTGCTCTCCAATGGTTACCAGTTCGAGTCCCTCAGGGCCACTGAGGTGAGTACCCGGCCGTAAACTTCAAGGCCCCGTGGAATTAGTCGAGGTACGCGCAAGTTGGCCCGGACATCCACGGTTATCAAAAAAAAAAAAAAAAACTTATAAGCTAGCTAACTAATATATGTTTTCAGGAAAATTTGGAAGAGGGGTCATCAAAGGTTGTCGATTGCATTTTGTCTCTTAAAGCATTTCATGAGTGGAAGCAAATGACAGGAGGGAATGGAACTTACAAACCACCAAGATCTCCTTTGATTACACATTCTGCTGGCAGGATTCATGCACGAACATCAGGCTCAGTTACTTTTCATAGTTCAAGGAAACTAGATATGTCAGCAGGATGTGATAAATCACTACCAACAGATAGTGAAATCCAAAAATTTGAAGGTAGTTCACTATTTTCTAATAAGCAGATTTTAATTCAAAGTGGTCAATCGAATGAGTACTATAGGAAACGGTTATTCTGCATTAATGAGGAAGGGTATAAGATGTAGTAATATTTAGCATTGTTAAAACCTTAATTAATTTGTTGATTGTCTTAATACTTTGGTGAACTGGAATTTCATTTTATTGAAGGATAATTTGTAAGTCCCCACTTTCTAATGTCTAAGAGGTTGCTTTTGGAAATTACCACAGAGCGATTTCCTTTTCCAAGTCCCAATTAAGATCTGTACAGTGTATGTTTTTTGTTTTTAACTTTTTGTTAGTTTCACCAGTAGCAAAAATTAGAAGTTCTTCATTCACATGTTTTCTAGTATATGGAATGGATTAAAAATCATTTGGTTAAAATCTTTATGATTCATTGGCCTCTACAGATGTAATAGTCAAGGCTCTTGCTGAACATATGGTCGATTCAAAGGAGAACGTGGGTAGTAATCTAATTGCTTCCTCTCGTAGTGGAAATGTGGTAATATTCAGTTTGATAGTTTTTTCTGGGGTTGAACTATTGAAACTCTAAAAAATGATTGTACTTGCATTTTGATCACATAACAGGATTCAGTCAAATTATTGACCAACATCTTCTCCAGTTGCTTGGAGGAACAACTTCAAAGAAAATTACCTGAGGTGAGTTGCTTATTTTAACAAAAACTGTTGCATTCGTTAATTCTCAAAATGCAGTTTCTGGCTCATATTCTTTCTTAGATGTCAGATTACGTGATGTTTCTGAATAGTTGGTGGATTTCATTTTATGCTTTCAAAAATTTCTCTTAGTATGGACTTTGAAGAGAACTTATCTCCTAAATAACTAGATAAGATGCGAGAAATTGGGATATTCTGGAAGGATGCTTCCAGAATTTCAGGTTCTTGTAAGTACCAGCTGGCCCCCGAAATACAGTCCACCGTTCTTAAGATTCATTCTGATTTCTACCCTTAGAGATCATACTGGACTGTGGGGTTGTATTTGATATAATCAACACGTGCAACAAATTTTTTCTTACCGTGGACTTTCTTGATTCTTGTTTTACTGTAAATTTAATCTAATTTGGATGAGACAAAGCTTTCAAGTAATGAACTTTTCAATATAATTTTGTATCACATGCTCAACAGTGTTGCATTCATGATGACAGCACTTTGATATTTGTTCAACTGCTGGTAGAGAGCTACTTGATTTGGAAATGAATTTTCGGAAAGATTTTTGTGTTCTACTGAGATGTAGATTGATGACAATATTGACTACTATTCATATTCAACCAGTTAAAATCGGGTCTATTGGATCAGAGAGAAAGAAATTGCTCGCCTGTGCATTCGACATCTGTGCCTCTTGGGAAATTGTCAAATCTTGAGAATGGCAAGGTATTTATTCTAGTTAGAATCAATCTCAAGAACTATTGAATCATGGGGGTGGAATTTTCAGTTGTAATAATGTATTTTTAAAGGGGTTGGTTAAGAGTTTTGAAGGCTATAATAACATGTTTAGAAGGGGTTGGTATGTGAACAAAGTTGAAGGCCATGCTCTCTATTCCATCTGAACCTTTTATAGTAAGAAATATCACCTTTTAAGGAGGGGAACGGTTTCTCCATGTATCTAAAGCAATAGTACGGGATCCACTCAATTGCTTCATTCTGTTTCAAGTCTCTTACAGCCAACTTGCATAAATAACACATAGTAGTAATACTTTTTTAACTAAAAGTTAGATACATCATATTATGGCGAGTATAGATCCATTTCATAAAAATCTGCTGTTGATTTATATAAGGTACTCATTTCCAGTTCACTATGGACATATATGAATTATTTGATCTGCAGTGTTGTAGGGCCTGCATTAAGACCGGTAAGTGCAATCATTGGAATCTGGTTGGGAAGCAAGAAAGGGAACTTGTGGTAAACATCTTGTGCTTTTATGTTAAAAGTTTTATCTATATATTCTTTGACATGAAAGATGTGACAATCTATGATTTATCAAAATTCCTTCCTTTCCAAGTTTCTTATCTAATAGGACAAATTTTGCTGTGCCTCTTTGTCCATGCATGCATATATATCTTACCATTTTCTCCACATAAAGATGAATTTAGACTTGACAATAATATTTTTATTGCTTGCAGAATCTTAAGATGCTACTATGCAGCACGAAGAAAGAGTTTGAATGTCTTCAATCTCACTTTCAAAGTGATTTGAAACAAATTGGTATGTTTTATGTTAAGGAAACCTTAGTCCCCTGCCCAATAGTCTATTCCCATAAGTATATGAGTCATGTCTATACCATGAATTATAAGCAGTCAGTAAGGGGATGCTTTTTAGACGCTCTTTCATTTTTTAATGGCCACTATTGAATTATATGAGTCATGTCTATACCATGAATTATAAGCAGTCAGTAAGGGGATGCTTTTTAGATGCTCTTTCATTTTTAATGGCCACCATTAAGTAACAAGCTTGTTACCAAAAAATTGATACTCCCTAATCTTATTTCTCCTAAAGCATATCTTTATTTTCCCATCAATGCCTCAATCGAACAAACAGATGCCGGTTTACTAAGATGAGATAGTTTGATCACGCTTTACATTTGATAATTTCCATATTCAAATCCTCTTCTTGCAAATGGCGTTCTTCTTCTAGGCATCTCTCTCAGAAAAGAAATGGATTTTATCTTGACTTGTTTGATAGATCGTCGAGGAAAAGCCGCAAACAGCATGTTTCATATGATATAATTGATATCTTTGATATTTTCAGATTTAACAATTGAAGGGAGCAAAATGTTCTCTAATGATGTTCACGGATGAACATAAAACTGACTAATTTTTTACACTTGCAAGAGAAATATTTTATTTTTCATGAATTCAGGAGATCAGGTGTAGGAGATGTCTACTGCAGCTCTTGGTTATCATAAAGTTGTAGAAGAGAACAGGAACTTGTACAACATGGTTCAGGATCTAAAGGGTTAGCCTAAAAGCTTTTCACTCTTTTCTTATTAGATTAATTATACGGTTGTTGCAGAGAATTTAAAATTTACCTCTTGGTAAACTTGTTGACCTTTTATTTATTTTACTGATAAAATTAAACATAAACTTATGATAGGGTGTCCATAGAAATGCTATAGTGGATGTAAGAGAGATAAGTAACCTTTTTTTTAGATGTATGAAGATCATTAAGGATATGTATGATGGAGCAACGACGTAAGATGAAGTGGTGATAGTCGTTGATCAGATAAAATGTAGGCATAACTAAGAAAATTAATGAAACGAAGACTCAGATCCTTTATATGTAGAAATATTTATCCTCAATTTCAACTCTTCGCATCACTGATCCATTGAGTTTACCTATTCGGTTATTTTTCCATCTTTTTCAGGAAATATTCGAGTTTACTGTAGAATTAGGCCCATCTTCAATGATGAGGTAAAAACTGTGATAGATCATATTGGAGATGATGGATCTCTAGTGGTTGTAGACCCTCTGAAACCACAAAAAGACAAAAGGAAGATTTTTCAATTCAATCACGTGTTTGGTCCAACTGCCACTCAATGTAATTGATACTATTTTCTTTGTTACAAAATCTTGGTCTTAGATTTTCATTGTGAATGACTACTTAATTTTTCAGTTGACGTATTCAGAGAAACTCAGCCCCTTATTAGATCTGTAATGGATGGTTACAATGTCTGCATTTTCGCCTATGGTCAAACTGGATCCGGCAAAACACATACTATGGTTAGGTTCTTTGACATTACAAACTGCACATGCTCAGTTTATCTACATCACAGAGGCATTTCTTGTTTGGCTTATGAATCTACTTTTTAAATGTGTCGAAAGAGCTAGTTTGATATGAAGTTTGGCAAAATTAATTTTCCGGCAGTATGTTCAATAATCCATTCTCTTTGTTGACAGTGTGGTCCTGCATGTGGATTGGCTAACGAGTTGGGGATTAACTATTTGGCAATTAATGATCTTTTTCAACTGTCTGATGAAAGAAAGGACATCATAGAATACAGAATTCAAGTCCAAATGGTTGAGATATATAATGAACAAGTTCGTGATCTTCTTGCAGAAGATTTGTCAGCTGTAAAATATCTTTTCACATTTTGAATACCTGTATTCCATTTTAGATTGTTTGCAGTTCATTTAGATTCAAAACTTGGACAAAGAAATTCATTTGTAAGCTATTCAGTATACAAATATACAAAGTTTCGATTTCTTAACTACCAATAAATTAGAGATCCGGAGTTGTGCAAGTGATGGTGGCTTGGTTCTTCCTGATGCTACTATGTGTCCTGTGAAGTCCACTACAGATGTCATTAACCTGATGAAACTTGGTGAAGGGAACCATGCTGTTAGTTCCACTGCCATTAACAATCATAGCAGTCATTCACACAGGTCAGTTTCTCGTCTACTTTACGTGCACATTTGGTATGCAATGCTAGACATTATAATGAACAAGATTTTTAGCTTATTTTTCTTTTTTAATACTGTTAAATACTTTTCATTCCTCCCTAATTAACATGCCATACGGTTATTCAATGTTATCGTGACACTGTCAAACTTGACCGATAAACACTGATTTTGCAGTGTGTTGACTATACATGTACATGGAGAAGATGTATCTGGAAGCATAGTTCAAAGTTGCCTCCATTTGGTGGATCTTGCAGGTAGCGAACGTGTTGATAAATCGGAAGTTACTGATGATGGACTCAAAGAAGCACAGTATATAAACAAGTCGCTCTCTTGTTTGGGAGATGTTATCGCAGCCTTGGCACAGAAGAACTCTCATATTCCTTACAAAAACAGCAAACTGACATTACTTCTGCAGAATACTTTAGGTAGTTATACAATTAGTTTAAGTCAACTTTTCCAGTCCCTTACAATAGTTTGTCAGTGTCTAATACTACACGTCATAATATTGGTGTTAGTGATAGCATAAGCACTTGATCAATATGCAATCCTCCCTTTATTTTCTTTACATGGTGATTACTTTTATGTTTTTGAGGGGGTAATTTTGTTATGGAGTATTAGGAGTATTAGGCGACACATGGTTATACAATGAATAAGATTTTAGCTTCATTTCTTTATTTATACTGTCCTTTAGTGTCCTGTCTTCCATGTCGGATGTGGTGTGAGTGATATGAGTGGTTATGTGTTTCAATGTACTGGCAAGTGCAGGAGGATTGCACCAGGGAGAAGATGGCTGTTCACAACTACAATTACGCATATGATATATACTGATCGTAGTTTTTTAATATGGAGCAGGAGGAAATGCAAAAACATTGATGTTTGCTCACGTGAGCCCAGAAGGTGATTCTTTTGGAGAAACAATGAGTACTTTAAAATTTGCTCAGAGGGTCTCAACTGTTGAATTTGGTGCAGCTCGTGCAAATAAAGAGACTGCTGAGGTGCTAGAGCTTAAAGCACAGGTAAATAGTCTTGAGTAGGTGAGTGTTTAATACCATCTGTAAGGTTTAACTTGAGTTAGGATAATGTTTAAGCACACCGTCGTTGATTTGCTTAAACTTCTACAGATTGAGAATCTCAAGAAGGCACTGGCCAACAAGCAAATCGGGACTCCTCTGGTTAACAACTCAAAGGAGCCAGCAAGAACACCTTGCAAGAAACCTAAACAAATGACTGAGCAAACCCCTGTTCGTCCCAGAAGGTCAAGTATTGAAAATGCTAGCAACTTACCGCTGGAGACAAAGAACTACAACGACACAAGGGGATCCAAAACCCCTTCTGTGAAAACTCGCTCTCGAAGATCAAGTTTGGGAGGACAAAGTTACGTAAACAAGGATTTTGAGCAGATTAAATTATCAGAAGTGGTAAGCAAGCCCTTGAGTAGAGAAGTAACATGCCTACAAAACCATAGTCAGACGGAAGAACATAAATATAATAGTGGATCTTTGATGGACTCATCTCATCACAGTCCGACAAGCTCTGCTTTCAAAGGTCATGTGGTAAAAGTTAATACTGCAATGAGTGCTCCATCTTTTCAAAATCCGATAACACCCAAGCCAGAAGTGGTAAGAAAGCCCGAGAAGCTAGGGGTAACATGCTTACAAAACTATAGTCAGACACAAGATCATAAATATAGTGGTGAATCTTTGATGGACTCAACTCATCATTGGGCTCCTAGTAGTAGTCCAACAAGCCCTCCTTTCAAAGGTCATGTGCTAAAAGTCGATACTGCAATGAAGTCTCCATTCTTTCAAAATCCCAGAACACCCGAACCAGAAGTGGTAAGCAAGCCTGTGAATAAAGAAGTAACATGCTTACAAAACCATAGTCAAGCAGAAGAACATAAATATAGTGGTGGATCTTTGATGGACTCAACTCATCATAGGGCTCCTAGGAGTCCAACAAGTTCTGCTTTCAAAGGCCATGTGTTAAAAGTCGTCGATAATGAAATGAAGGCTCCATCTTTTCAAAATCCCGAAACACCCGAGCCACGTGTGAAATCAAAGACAGGGTTCCAGAGATTGCAACAAAATGACTGTTCCATCCATTCTGAATTACAGATGCCTTGCTCCTCAACTAATACCACTTACGGAAAGGGGTCTCAGATAAGGAAATCACTATGGTCTATTGGGAAATTAATTCACGGATCAGAAAAGAGGTATTCAATTGTTTATTGTACCGTGTAGAGTCATGTTGTGTACCAAATATGCACTCAATGTTTTTAAGTTGCTCCAAGTCTTCAGTTCATATTACGTCATATTATTTATTGCAACATGTGATTGAATAATATCCTCAAGAAGTTTAATGAAAATCACAGGAAACAACAGAAATCGACTGAAGCACCAATGCCTTCCAATGGAAATAGCACCCTGCTTGATGCTAAGTCACCCATTCATTCGAATGCAAGGGCCATCAGGAGACAGTCACTAACCGGCATTCAACCATCCAGGCGATCTTCACTTGGAGGGGTTTCAACTAACTCTTGTAAGTGATATCATTTTCTACTTGGACTCAAAAAATTTATATACAATACACAGACATGCGATTAACACGAGAATTCATTCTTATGCAGATGGAAATGAAAATAGGAATGTAAAAACGCCATCTCCAGTTCGTTCTTCAACAAAGTTAACAAAACGGTGGCTTTAGACCATTTTAGCTACCCGAACAGAGTTAACTTTTAGTTATAGGACTCATTTTTGGGAAGTTTAAGAAAAGGTTCACCAGAACTATTGTGTAGTCTTTCGTGTACATACATCAGAGGGGGAAAATGGATTCCTAGACAAATCTGGTTTTATTACCAGATCAATAAATAATCTGCTCTATCCCATTGTATAACTGCCTTGTAGTTTTCATTGTTATATGATAATTTTTGACATGCTTTTGTCAAATCTGCTCAATAAAATGTGCAAGTTCCTAAAATATCCACTAGAAGAACTTTGTGTATTCTGTAGCACGGCATGTTGATGTTCCTTTTGAAAGTCTACACACTAACATCAGGACATTACTGTTATATATGGAAATGCGATTTTGTTTCTTCTTAATGGTTGATGTTCAATGGAAAACACAAAAGGTTAGATAACTGAATAAATTAACAGTAGCTATTAAGAAGGTGTGCTCATGTCATCATGCATGTGACTATTGTAAAATTCCTCGTATAAAATTTATGTAGCCAAATTATTTTTAAGAACGAAGCGTAGTATTTTGTAGTATTACAACGTTTTCACATTATTATTTCAATTATTCTACTTGTACATATATTTTGCACGAATAGATTGTCATATGCATGTGTGGCATGCATCTATCCGTTGGGGATTATAAAAATATCACTGACATGCATACAACTAGCATGGGAGCTAAGGTAAGCACCTAGAATGGACTTACACCTTTTAACCTACATGGATAGATCTCTTGAAAATTAAAAAAATATCTCCAATCGAGAGCATCTACAGCATTGAAAGAACATCCTCATAAAATGGTTTTAGATTGAAAAAGTATCTAGAGTCCCATTGTTTGGAAGAACATTCCGTTGAAATTGTTGTTCAAAATCAATAAATTAGGCTTTAGAATGAAAAAAGGTGAAAAAAGGATTTGGAGGCCAAAAATTTTGCCCATACGACCGCATAGGCAGTTGCATATAAATGTGCAGGATTTATATGCCATACAAGTGATTAATCTATGAGATCATATAGGTTTGTTCATGCATAGAACTAAAAAATAGTCGTTGTGGCTGGTTTTTTGTTTGAATTCTTGGTGGTCTTAGGTGAAAAGCTTGCAAATTTTCATGATTTTTTGGCACTATTTCGTAGGTGTTGATTGAAATCTTTAAATACATGATAGATTATCACATCAAAAATATAATTCAACAACTTGAGATAAAATCTTCATTCCAAAAGATAGAATTTGCATTCTTCCCTTCATATTCAAATTTATTTCAAAATATTCTTGAAATCTTGATAGAAAGCACGAAGTGATTAAGTGTTTTCTATTATAAGACTTGATTAATCCTTCAAACCATTTGCCAATATCCATTTAAGCATAAAAATTCAATCTAAGAGGGGACAAATATTGTTTGAGGACAACGATAATTGTGTTTAAGCTCTAATCTTTATTCCGGTGTTCTTGTTTTTTATTCTTTGTTTCTTCTTCATCTCTTTTATGTGGAAACACTTTTCCAACAATTTCAAACAATATTCTGCAGTGGAGAACGAAAATACGATGGCAACGATCAAATTGATGAATCAAGATCTTGCTCGTCTAGATCGATTTGAGGGACAAATTTCACAAGATGGCAAGACAGTTGAAGTTCCTTCTCATGGTGTTGAAGATCTTCTACATTCTTGATCCAGTATTGGCACCATTTGTGGATTCAACTGATGAAGATACTGAAACCGTAAATATGGAGAGACAGAAGCGTTGAGAGGATGAACTAATATGCCGCTACTTAACGCTCTATCCGACCGATTGTATGATATTTACACAAATACATCATCGGAAAAAAAAATATGGGATGTTTTGGAAAATAATTACAAAGCCGAAGAAGAAGAAGAAGAAGAAGAAGAAGAAGATCCTAATAAATTCCTAATATCAAGGTATTTCAACTTCAAATTCCTTAATAACATTCCCCTTCTTCCCCAAGTACATGAGTTACAAGTTGAAGGCAATCAAAATTGAAATCCCAGAATCTTTCCAAGTAGGAGCAATCATTGCCAAACTCCCAGGGACTTGAAAATATTATCGGAAGAAAATAGTGCATAGTTTGGAAGATTATTTTTTGAAACAAGTGCAAAAACATCTTCGAATTAAAGATTAATCAAGGGCGAGAAATAAGAATGACAATTCTTATGAAGGCACATTAAAAGCCAACGATGTGGAGAAGACCAAACCTTCAAATAAATCCAACAAGAGAAAACCTTCTAAAAACTTTAACAAGTTTAAGAAGAAGTCCAGGTAGGTTGCTTTGCATGTGGGAAACCAGGACATTATGCAAAGGAATGTCGACACCAAAAGCAAAACAACTCCGAAGGAAATGTGAACTTCATAAAAAAAAGACATTATTGTGGCCACCATAAGCGAGATCAATGCAATCAAGTAAAAAGTTCTTGGTTGGTGGTATGATATATATATGCAACTAACTGTACATGTATCATATGATAAGTCTTTATTCAAGACCTATTATGAAATGGATGGAGATCAAGAGATTCAAATGGGTAACGAAGGCCGCTCCAAAGTGGTTGGGAAAGGAACTGTAGAGGTTATCTTCACTTTCGAAAAATCGTTACTTTAACAAATGTACTGCACATTCCTGAAATGAATAGGAACTTAGTTAGTGGTAATCTCTTAGGAAAACTGGGCATAAAAAGTTTTTATGAGACCGGTAAAATTATATTATCCCTAAATGAGAAATTTGTTAAAAAAAACTACTTTAGTGAAGGAATAGTCAAACTTTGTACTATTGAAAAAATTATTAATAAAGTTGATTTTGTTTATATTGTTGATTTATTTACTTTATGGCATGCTAGATTAGGTCACATAGGTAAGAGTACCATAAAAAGAATGTTAAAAGTGATTAATATCATATAATGAAAATGACGCATTTAAATGTAAAATATGTGTAGAAACTAAAATGACTAGTAAGCCTTACCAAAGTGTAAATAGGACTTCTAATATTTTAGAATTAATTCATACGGACATATAAAATTGTATGTTAAATAGAGGTGGAAATACGTATGTTATTACCTTGATAGATGATCACTCTAAATATACTTATATTTATTTAATGAAATATAAACATGAAACTTTTAATATGTTTAAAACATATTAAAAATAAAGTTGAAAATCACTTAAGAAAATAAAAACTCTAAGAACTGATAGAGGGGGTAAATATTTTTCTAGTGATTTTAATTTTTATATAAACAAAAAGGAGTAATTGATCAATCTGCATGTAGGACAACCAAACAAAATGGTTTAGTTGAAAGGAAAAATACAACTTTAGTTGAGATGATAAATGTTGTGTTAACTTATGCTAAGTTGCTATTTAATGTATGTGGTGAAGCATTGTTAAGTGCATGTAGGATATTAAATAGAATTTCTTCGAAATATACAAAGATTTCTCCTTTTGAATTGTGGAAAGGAAGAAAACATACATTGGATATTTTAAAGTGTGGGGGTGTCTTGCATATTGTAAGAACATAAACCCTAATAGAACAAAGTTGGGCCCAAAAGGCATTAAACGTGTCTTTGTTGGTTGTGCTAGTAATAGCAAATCAAATACATTGTTAAATTTGGAGACGAATGTAATAATTGAATCTAATGATGTCGAGTTCTTTGAGAATTCACTATCCTCGAATAATGAATTAAGGGAAACCTACAATAAAATCTCTAGCTCAAGTGGAAAGTAAGATGAAACGTCTTCTAAAGATATTCATGAATCTTATGAACCACGAAGAAGCAAAAGAACTCGAATTTAGAATAACTCTAATTAGGATTTTATTCGGATTAACTTTGATACATGACTTACATGTTCATCAAATAGATGTCAAGAAGACATTCTTAAATATGGATCTCGATGGGGAGGTTTATAAGAACAACTCGAAGAGTTTGTTCTACCCGAAAATGAACATAAGGTGTATAAGTTAGTAAAATCGTTATACAATCTAAAGTAAACACCTAATAAATGGTATGAAAAATTTGACTTAGCTATTAATTCTTTTGGTTTCATAAATAATAGTGTAGATAAATGTTTATATTTTGAAGTGTATGATGAATGTATAATCCTTATTTGCTTGTATATTGATAACATATCGATTATGAGTAATCACATGGATGGAATCAAAGAAACGAAGAGGTTTTTATGATCTACTTTCAAGATGAAAGATCTTGGATAAGTAGATACTATATTGGGTATCAATCTTGGATAAGTAGATACTATATTGGGTATCAAAGTTACAAAAACTAGTGGGGGTTTCTACTTGAGTCAATCACATTATATTGAGAATGTGATTAATAAGTTTAAAAATTTGAACATAAAAGAATTTAATACACATTTTGATCCAATTTTAAAACTTATAAAAAATGATTGAAGAGAAATTGCTCAATTAGAGTATTAGAAGAGGTTTCTATCTTCCACATTCAAAATGAAAGATCTTGGACAAACGGATACCATAATAGGTATCAAAGTTACAAAAACTAGTGGTGGTTTCTACTTGAGTCAATCACATTATATTGAGAATGTGATTAATAAGTTTAAACATTTGAACATAAAAGAATTTAATACCTCTCTTGATCCAAGTTCAAAACTTATAAAGAATGATGGAAAACAAATTACGCAATTGGAGTATGCAAGTGCTATAAGGAGTCTTATGTATGCAGTTCAATGTACAAGACTGGACATAGCATTTGCAGTTAATAAAATTAGTAGGTTTACTAATAATCCGAGCAAGGAACATTGAAAGAGTTCTTGACTATTTAAAGAAAACCAAGAACTTAGGTCTACAATATTATAAATTCCCATCTATATTAGAAGGATTTACCGATACTAGTTGGATTTCTAACACGAGTGAAAGTAAATCGACTTCAGATTGAGTGTTTACTATTGGAGAAGGTGCTATTTCTTGGAAACCAAAGAAACAAACATGTATTACACACTC